TATTTGGGAAGACTGAGGGGAAGAGACCTCTGGGGAGACCTAGACGTAGATGGGAGGATAATCTCAGGCGGGATCTATGGGAGATAGGAGTTGAAGGAGACTGGATTTTGTTGGCCCAGGACAGGGTCCGGTGGAGGGCTTTGGTTAATTCGGTGATGAACCCTCGGGTTCGGTAAGCCATCTAGTTACAACATAATAACTTAACATCTTTAACTGTGTTCATTGGTCTCTGTTCATTGTCACCTAATTGAGAGGATTATGAACCAAGTTTTATCCAGATGTAGACAGAAACAGACGTATTTATCTCTAATTTAATGAGAAGAGTTTTTTATTTCAGTCTACTGGAAATAAAACAGAGTGAATTAAACTTTGTGACTGAAAATAACAATTAATATAAGACTTAACATATTCTCCACATGAAATTTACCAGGGAACAAATATCCAAACTATTCGGAGGATAAATGTTTGATCGTTTGTGTCACACTATTTTATGACATTACATTTACAACTGAGTTGATGCGGTAATAAAATTATGCCATTTGTATTTAATGACGTAGGGGTTTATATTCATTATAATTTATTAAATATCCAGTAAAACCCCAGCAAGGTCTGTACCACACATGAAACTACGCGAATAGATATATATGCCCGGAATGGGATTCAAACCCATAATCCTGTAGACCACTGGACCACTGTGACTGGCATGCCGATACAATGAAATAAATCTCCCATGACGTAAAATTATGACCAAAAAAGTTAATATGTAATTAAACGTTACTTTTAAACGTAAATAAATTATTTGTGTAGTTCTATAGATAGTCAGCTGTTAAATGTATTTCAATTGCCGTAAAATTTTAAATTAAAACACTGATTTAGGTTATGGATCAGTCAGCTTATTGGAAAAGCCGCAGAAAATTTATTGGTTTACTGATTATATTTGCTTTTTAACAAAAAGCACAATCTTCGACAGAACTGGATATATTAGCAATTTTGATTAAATTTGGCACGCACAAATATTACGTACACTATATGAATTAAAACTGCAGTATAGTTAATGTAACAATCAAAAGACGCCATTTCTACTGGAGGCAAAATTATACAAGGATAATATTTAAATGGATCTGAAATAAACTCTATATGGTACTGGATTCATCTTCCTTAAGATAGGGTCTTGTGGCTAACTCTTATGAACACAATAATTAACTTATCTAGGTTGTAGTGAAATGTACCCTGATGATAGAGACAGTAAGGACCTCTAAAACGTTGGTAAACTTCTACCAGAATGCACCGCGCTATAACCCAGAAGACAACCATCTACGATAATGAAACTTAAAGTTTCATAAAAGGCGAGATATGCTATTAACTTCTGAATAAGTATTATTTTGTACAAACTTTGTTAATTTTAAAATATGAGGCGATTAACCATAACTCTTCCATTACCAAGTCAACAGTATTATCATCATTATTGATATAAGACAACTCACAGACAAATTTGGTGATATAAAATTTTAAGTTGGAAACATTTATCATTCTTCTTTCGGTATAATTTTAATATTTTTCCCACGTTTCTTAGTTTACTTTCTTGTCAATTTAATATTATCTCAATAGACATAAATTAACATATTTTCCCTTACTTAAATTCAAAATATATAACACGACCACTTTCTCCTACATCAGCGTGTTCTTATGTGGACATTTACATTCACTACGAAAGCAATCCTTAACCCCAAATAATTCACAACAAATATCATAAATCTGCATTTAATATTTTCTTTCACATCCACGACAGAGATGCACAAATCTGTTATTCTTTACATCCGACGGTCGTAACTAAAGGCCTAGACTTGCTTTCTTTTGTTTATCGTATTTCTGCTACGATATAATTAATAGAACAAAAATTATTACGAGCTTGTTTGTATCTAACTTGTGTTTAGGAATGGTGTAAAGCAGAACACGCATATTAAGGCAAGTGGCGTCGAATACCCCTCGAAACAGTCGTGCGACAAAGGACCTCTGGCAGTCCTCGAGTAGTGTCGATGTGGTGGTCGGCGTGGGAAGGTTCTCCCTCGTCAGAGCAAAACGACCGACCTACAGCGATGTCAGCCCTTCACGTTCTGCTTCTAGCGGGTGAGTTACTTGCCATGGTCACTAAACTTCGTCCATCATTCATTACATTTCAATCTTAATTAACTTCAACTAGTAAAAACAGTACAATTCCAACAGATTAGATTCCCAGTCTGCACTATTTTATTTTATTTATTCGGGTCGTTTACATCAGTGGTATTCAACCTTTTTTGTTCGCGTACCCCCAGATATAATTTCTCTTCAACTTTGTACCCCAAAAGTTGTTCGTGTATAATTCAAGTTATACATAGTATATAATCTACATATAAAATAAATTAAATAAATTACATTACTGATTATTTAGTGTTTATCATAAAATAATATATATTTTTTTAAATTTCACGTACCCCAGGTTGAATACCACTGGTTTACATCAACTGATAGCACCTAATATTATCGTTAATTAATTTAATCAAAATATAAGACGAACTCTCTATTTAGCAGAATTTATTAAAATATTAATATTAAATTTTAAGTATCTGGCAACATTAACAAATAGAAATGAGGTCCATGATGAAATTAAGAGCAGAATACACTGGAGAAACGCTGGTTTATATTCAATTCAAAAACTGTTATAATCTCGTTTACTGTTCAAAACACCGAAGATTGGGATGTATAAAACAATAACTTTGACTGCTGTCTTGTATGGTTGTGAAACATAGTCTCTTACCTTGAATTAAGAACGTAGATTACAAGTGTTTGAAAACAAGAGTGCTCAGGAGGATATTTGAACCAAGACGGATGAAATAAGTGGGGAATTTGGAATATTGCATTACGAGGAGCTGCGTGAATTGCCCGGGTCACCTAGTATAATAAGGATAACGAAATCTAGATGGCTCCGATGGGCTGGACATGTAGCACGGAATACATAATTTAGGTGGGGAATCCTTCTGGGAAACGGCCACTGGTCAGACCAAGAAGGAGATGGGAGGATAATATCAAGATGGATCTTCGGGAGGTGGGCTGTGAGGATGGCAAATGGATGGAGTTGGCTCAGGATCGTGGCCGGTGGCGGGCTTTGGTGCGGGTTCTGCTACCAGGGAGTTAGTTATTAAAATATAAACGTCCGGATTTTGTGAATATTGTAATGAACCTTCAGGTTTAATTGCATCAGGAATCTTTTGACCAGCTCAACTGCTCGTAAAGCTGTTTATTTACTTACTTATGTAGTAACGCTCCTTTTTTTATTTTCTGGTTTCTTCCTGAGGGAATTGAGGAAAAGTACAAAGACCCTCAGCCAAGGAATTCAGTTGTCATACTCAGTCTATACCCTCACCATATTTCGTTGAAATCAACTTTTTAGTATTATCCCCTAACATTTAGTGCATTTTATGTCTTTAACTTTTGAATTTATTCCTTGCTATCAGAAATACACGTCGAATAGAAAACATTAAAATTTCAGTATCCTACAATTTTTTGTTTTTAAAAAAAAGGTTACCTTGGTGATGGTCGTTGTGATGAAATGCGTCGAATTTGTATCTAGACAATCAGTACTTAGTATTTTCATGTGTTAACTATTAACGATTACTAAATAAATTATTAGTTAATGTTATAATAAGCAAAAATTGAACTGAACACTGAATAATAAATATGTTAATTGTCATTGATAGCTGTAAATCATCTGTTTGTTAAAGTGATACAGACAGAGAAACCGAAAAATGTTAGAAATTCAGAATCGAAATAACTGACCGTACAAACGTCGACAATTTTAGGCGTACATCATATTTCAGCAGTCTGAATTTACATCATTAATGGCATAACGGAATTCATCTCGATACATTAATCCACGTGTAAAATAGTCAGAAATTAAATTATTGATATATTAATGGAATCCATTAATCGATGGTATATTTTCAAGATACTAACGCATTGGCTTAATAATTAGGAGCATTCGATTTAGTTGTCACAATTTCATATTCGGGATTTCCTTGTTTCGAATCTGTGTTTGTAGACTGGTTATATTGAGTTGCGCTTTTCTTGGTTTTATTCAGTACATCAAGGTAACATAAAACTAATTTTAATTAAATTCGTGCTGAAGAAAAAGTCCACTGCTTCATTTGTATTTGGAAAACTGAGTGTTTGAGAGAAACTGAATGAGCTATGAAGCTCTACGAACAATGGACTGGGAAGGAGAGAACAGGAAATGACCGCGACCTTGAAAATCGGATTGCCTGATGGAGATTTAACTTGAAACTTCTGGAGTAAGGGTTACGAGTTCTTCATTCTGATATTACTGTGGAAAATGTTATGTTGCACACCTCTTGTACCATCCATGCGCGCTACATGCCCCGTCCATCTCATTCTTCTCGACTTAATCACCCTGACAATACTGGGGGAGGAGTACAGATTTTTAAGCTCGTCATTATGCAGTTTTCTCCATGCCCCATCGTCTTCCCTCTTAGGCCCAAATATCCTCCTCAAAACCCTATTTTCAAACATCTGCAATCTGTGTTCCTCCCTCTGAGTGAGAGACCATTTTTCGCACCCATACAAAATAACAGGCAAAATTATTGTTTTGTATACTTTAATTTCCAGGTTCTTAGAAATCAGACGGGAAGCCAAAATATTTTGAACTGAGAAGTAGCAAGCATTTCCATAATTTAATCTCCTCCTAACTTCCTCATGAGTGTCATTTTCATTTGTTGTTGTTGTTCCCAAATATTTGAACTTTGTAACCCTTTCAAAGGATTTATTAGCCACCCTAAGATAATTCTGCCCGCCTGTCTTCTGATGACAAGATACTAACATGTTCTTAGTTTTTTCTGAATTTACTTCAAGCCCCACCTGTCTACTAGCGTAACTTAACAAAAATTAATCAACGCCTCAGTATCGTGTATACACGCGGACCTCGCGCCACACAACCGTCATTTGTTTTGTAACGGACTCTACTCACAGTGTGATATGTCAGTAGCTCTCTTGACAGCACACAGAGTGGGCTGATGTTGACATGGAGGTCTTCCGTCTAATATTCTTCATGGCGGGTGAGTTTTAACACATTTTTTAGTAATAAACTTCGCGCTGTTACAAACATTTAACCTCATAAATTTGTTTAAAACAACTGAAAAATCTTTATTATAGAAAAGGCTTTGTCTGACGTATTGAAGCCAATTCTTCTAGGTCTCTGCGGGAGACAAATCAGTCACTAACTACCATCTATGAACTCTGTTGCTTTCGTCTTAGTATTTATATGTCATTAAGCTTGATAAATCTCCCCAGTGTCAAAATGGAAATTATTCTGAAATGTCAGAAATGTCATAAAGGAGGGGAAACTATATTAAATGTAAGCTATTGTAAGTTGTTAAGTCTAATAAGTTTACGATCTGTTGGAAATAAAAATAAGAGAATAATCGGGTATTGAAAACGAAAAAAAAAATGCGACTGAAGATGATAATTTATCTTAGTGACATATTGGCTTTCGAGTAGTGAAATAAAATAGAACAAACACAAATTTAAAATAAATTAATAACACGATGCAAATGTTCTTCAAAAACTTATCCTGAATACTGATTTGATTATTTAAAATGTGCATTAAGAACATGCTAATACAAGTTTTTGTCGCAATACCCCCGGTGGCCATTAAACGTTATGCAGTACAGGGTATCAAATGTTTGTTTTTAAACAAGCAATGCCAAGCGCGAGTTACCACCCCCGACAACTTCCGACTCGTCCCTATATCGCGTTGTTGCGCAAACTTTCTACACTCGTGGCACACTAAATATTGTCGAAGAGTCATGGCGGCACACCAACCCCATTTTGCATATCGTTGGGGGGGGGGCAGATGGTTTATGGCATTGATTGGCCGCGACAACTTCTTATAAATCGACCCCAACCGAAAAATGTTCTATTTGATGTTTATAATTATCCATCTTTTTATTATTACTCAATTTATTTTAAATTTATTCGTTATTTTAAATATATGCGTTATTTTAAATTAATTAAAATATAATATTTCCCATCGTTTTATCCATAATTTATTAACTATGTGTAAACATTTAAACTTAAAGATACGTATGACCAGTTTACTTTTAATTATTTTTAATTACATTGTATTATTTGCGATTTAACAAATATCTAAACTGGAGGCATTTGACATTAATACTAGAATCTACACTTCGCAAGTCCTGTTTAAATAAAATGTTATGTGATATATCGAAACAGCTCTTCATATGAACAGTCACACTTACCGTGTAACATTTATCTCATTCTTGTCCGCAAATTTTCTTAAATATATCTTGATTTTCAATTCGTAACTGTTCAGCTGTATAAATTAATTCATTTAAACCGGTAAAATACTTTATAAGAATTCTTATCAAAAAAACTAATAGTAGCTCAGCTAGCTCAGAAATACACCGCCTTTTACGGAAGCAGTATTCATTATCGTGTTCACATATAACACATAACTAGTGTACAGTCAGGCGGGGTGACAGCTGAATTATCAAGCAGTTTCCAAACCAGAGGATGTTAGAGGGTCGGAGCGTATCTCTTAGCATTTCCCATTTTAGAAAGAAATTCAACTTCCTGTGGCACAACGCGTCTCCAGAAACCACGCTGGATCTCGATTAATTCGATAATATATTTTCACGATATTCCACACTCCATCTTGTAAACTGCAGTAGATAATTTCAAAGCTTTCAACCTAAACTTCTATATTGTTTCATTAAAAAATTATGTTATACACATAATTATTTATTGATACAACGTCATTAAATTAAGGAAGATAATATGGGCAGGGAATGTATAACACGTGGGAGAGATGAGAAATTTATACAAAAGTTTAAACTAAAAATATACAAAAGGGCATGTTAATATGATCTTAAAAAAATAGAATTTGAGGACGTTAACTGAATTACTCTGGTACAGAATAAAGACAAATTGCCGGCTTTAAAGAACACAGTAAAGAATTTTCGGATTTCATAAAATTAGGGATATTCTCATGAAGGGCACAGATTCACAGTTATATTATAGTTCCATTATGCTTATTCATTAAATAAACACATTTATCAATTTATTCTTGTATTCAATTAAGAGGCGAATGGGTGATTATATTAACATGATAATATGATGCGAAGAAAAACAAACAGAATAAATTTTAAAAAAGCAAATTGTAAGCGCCTTGACTTGGAGTTTGTGGTTAAGAATTACCTCACAGTTGTTAGCTGTTTTATCTTGCAAAAAAAATAATTTTAATTGGAAAGAAAAACAATCTAATGAACTTCTTGTAAACTGTCAGAGTCGGATCATGACGTTCCATATTATTATGTTCTTCTGGGTTTAGGCGCCGTGTGGACTGGTCGGTAGAAGCCAACGTTTCGGAGAGACATATTGTTTCCATCTTCAGGACTCAGATGACAATACTGATGGTCAGAAGAATTACACAGTGTGGCACGAAGGGGGGGGGGTCTGAGGAAATGGGCCGATCAGGACTGAATAAAGTGGAGATCGAGCCGGGAAGATGGAGGCAGTAAGTTTCTCCGAAACGCTGTTATCTGCCGACCAGTCTACTATATATATATATATATATATCCCATGCAGTCAAGTCCTTCCTGAGAAGCCAACATTCTCTCAGCCATTAAAGAAATTCCCAACATTTTATGGAACTCGACGTTTCAATGCCGTGTTCACAAGAGACCGCCACTAGTCCTTATCCCGAGCCAGAAGAATTCAGTCCACACCACCCCATCCTATTTATCCAATATTTCTTTTAATATTATCCTATCTAAGTCTAGGTTTACCTAGTGATTCTTTCCTTCTGGAATGCCTTTGTGGACGAGCCTCGTATTTCAAAGATACACGATTTCTAAAATTTGTGTGTGAAATTTCACGAGTTACTTTAGTGTACTTTTTTCTTTTACAATACGAACAAAAATTGATTTATTGATTTTAGCATCCTTGCTTATTCAATGCTCGCTATACGTACGCATAATGTAGAAGACATGTTTGTGCGTATGATTATTCTCTGAAACTACAGATTGATCGAAAAATCACGCAATTCATTAATAACACATGTCAAAAAAAAAAGTTAATTACGTCGTACACATTCCAAACTAACGTACTCAATTGTGAAGGCCGACCGGAACTATTTATGTCCTGCAGACTTTGTGAGGCACGGAAAGAGTTCACCAGACGAGATATTGTCGATTTATTTGGCACTGGAGAATCTGGTAATGCATTTCCAAACTCATTCTGTGAAGTTAAGAACGAGATTCCAGCGTTCGACAATTAACACTCGTTGCACTTATGAAATGGACATATCTGCTCACCAAAACCCTGTACGCATTCGTCTTCTCCCCCATGCGGGCTACATGCCCTGCCCATCTCATTCTCCTCATTATGAAACTTTATCCAGCCCCTAGTAATTCATCCCTCTTAGGTCCAGATATCTTCCTCAGACACCCTCAGTCTATGTTCCTCCCTTAGTGTAAGAGACCACGTTTTACACCCATACAAAACTACGCGCAAAACAATAGTGTTGTATATTTTAATCTTTACGTTTTTAGACAGCAGACGAGAAGACGAAGGATTTTGAACAGAATGGAAGCAAGCATTTCCCGAATTTAATTTGCTCTTAATTTCCTCATGAATCAAATTTTAATTTGTTACTGTCTCTCATGAATCAAATTTTAATTTGTTACTATCTCTTCCAAATATCTGAACTTTGTCACATTTTCAAATGATCCGTCAGGTATCTTTTTTTACCATTTTGCCTTGCATTCTGGTGACGAGACATCAACATATATTTCCTTTTCTCTGTATTTAGTTCTAAACCCATTTCCTTATCAGCGTCAATCAGAGCTTCTGCGTTTTTCTTTATGGTGTTATCCCCCAATAGACTTACACCATTAACATTGATCAGAAGCTGATGCGTCCAATTCAGTTTTAGTTCAACCTGGTTTTCTTGGACCAATAACACTGACCAGTACACGGCGCCGAAACCCATAATAACATAATCACTAACCTAACCGCGGTAAAACCCTCAGATCTTACAAGAAGAAGTTTACGACATTTCCAGTATGAAGCTTAGACACGTGAGGTCGAAACAGACGCTGCCTGTTATCGACGTTAAAAAAAGTAGCGAGCGGTGGGTGTCCAGAAAACACATTTTTATCAAGTAGGAAGTATTTGATAAAAGTGGCAGTAAAATATACCCCGGTCCAAACTCAAAACTGGTATCGCTAAAACGTCGGATGTGTTATATACATTGCTGTATTTATCGTGATCGTTTCATTTGGTATCCAGAAATTACTATAAATCTGATCACTGTGTTTCGTACTAAAGTGTTTGAGAGGAAAATAACTTCAAACCAGACAGAACTCCGGGTTTATCGCATGATCACAGCAGTGTCTGCACAGCAAGATACTGTTCCAGCATGATACAACACCATGCCATGCCACGCCTCCAACTTTTTCTCAGGGATGCATAAATTACTGAAATAGAATTCTTCACTCATGTCTATTACGCCAAAGACAACTTCAGAATATGATATCGATATCGAATCCTATACAAGTCAAATGAAATTTTTCACGTAATACTAAATCAATGTCACCAAAATTTATTTTAATATTACCCTCCACCTTCATTTCCGTCTTCCAAAATTTATCTCTATTAAACGTGAATGTTTATTTAAATGATAATAGCAATTACGTTGCGAACTTGCGTCTATTATCTTCGACTTATCTGCGTGTCGATCTATCGAGAATCGATACACAAATTTTCATGAAGTATGATTTGATGTTTCACGGCGGTGAATCAGAAGATGGTTGTCTTCTAGGTTGTAGCACAATGTAGTCTACACTGCACTACAACCCAAAAGACAGCCATCTTCAAATTTCCATATAAATTTAACGCTGGAGAATTATATTAAAGATGTACCTTTGACAACACGAATGCATCTCGATAATCGCTTCTCTGGTCGATGATAGGTAGTGGTAGTTCACAAAATTGACTGAAGATGGTTACCGTTTCTACGAAACATTGGTAACCACCCACAAATTCACATGGCATCACAACCCAAAAGAACATGACGCTTATGGGCAATCGTGTTAAAATCATATCAGCGGTAGTCGGACTGATTTATAAATCGGGACACTTTCGACCGTAATTTGTCCACCCCTGCCTCAGGTCCACAGAGACATATGATATTTTAAGCATGGTACTGCTGCCCTTATGTCAAGGAGTTTAGTTTTAATTGTGGTTAGTTCCACTAATTAAAAAAATGACTTGCTCAGTTATAAATGAGCCATAAACAGATTGACCGACGTCTGTAACAGCTTCATGTTAAATGTTGTAACATTCGTAGGGTGGAACATGTGGGAGTAATAAAAAGTCCTCACAAAACAAGTTCATATATAAACTAGTAGTTTCCATGAAGATTTATAAGGCTTTTGTATGAGGCAATTTTTATTTCACAACATTATATCCGGAGCCCTTAAAATCAAAAATAAAGGCAAACATATAACTCAAATTGTAAAACGAACAATATTCAGAAAAAATACGATTATTATTATTATTATTACTATTAATACCGAAATGTTTGGAAAAGCGATAACTTTAATGTTCTCTTACAACTAATTTATTAATTTTAAAATCCAGGCTATTACAATGAGGTTGCCCAGGTCCTGGAATAAAGTCATCCTTATTTCGACTGAATAGATTTATGCGATGCAATGATCCTTCGTGATCGTAATGACATATATATAATGTACTTGTGGTTCACTGGACGCCAATATTATATAGCATTGGATAATTTATGAAAAATTAACTAGAAAGGATATGCAAAGAAACGGTCATCACTTATATTTCGGAATTTTCCTGTAGGGGCTGAGAAAAACCACAAATATCAAGCCCCCAGGTCGATATTTGAACCCAGGACCTCCCGAGTACAAAAGAAAAGATACCAACCACTTGTCTATGTCGTTCGATAAAAAGATACTTTATGTAAAAGTGAGGTAAAGCTGTCCCCCTATACGCCATGTAGGCGCTTGGGGGGAGAGGACGTATAGTTCCTACTCATTCTTGACCTCGGCACTAGATGGGGGTGAGTGGTCAGCATCACGCCCCGGCCGTGCTTTAACCCCGGGAAAGGACCCCAGTACCCATTGGATAGGAGGCTGGACTCAGAGGCTAGAAGAAAAACCCTCTGTCCCCGTAGGGGTTCGAACCCCGGTCGACCAGTCCGTAGCTAGTCGCTATACCGACTGAGCTACCCCGACTCTTCTGTAATTTATGCATATTCTGGTCTTCATCCATCGTCCAGTATTCGAAAATTCCGAAAATTGCATATATCCGTCCTGGTGTGGAAAAGTATGGGGGCATGAACTCAATTAGGCCCGTTAAATAGAACTAATCTCAATTTTTGGGCAACCTGATCATCAACTAAAGTTACACAAGACATTACGATCATGTTTCATGTCCAGAAATAAAAAAATATTTACTGCAATGTAATAATAGTCTACGATTGTCAAAACCTATTAGTTGTGTACATCATTGATATGTTGCATAATCAATTTATATTTTGGTGCTAATGTAAATTTGTATCCACACGTGAACAGATGTGACACATTCAAATGCGTCTCAATACAAATAAATTCCCACTAACCTTAAGGAAAACAATTATCTTACTACCCTCTGTATCCAAAGGTCATCTACTCCATTTACAACCTGAGGACATGTCATGCAGTGGTGAAAAGCGAAGCACTTAGTAAAACAGTAATCAAAGTCACAATATTTATAAATGTAATTTTCTTTACTATAATGTTAACAATTATACTTCTATTTTTCAGCCATTATGGATGTGGCAATACATCAAGAAGTAAATGGTTTCATACATTTCAAAAGGGTGAGAACTAGGCGCAGTGAACATTCCGAAGGAATACTGGAGCTATTTAAGAATACAAATAAAACAATGCTTGAATCAAACATCCGGAACTTGGAAAATTCATCCGGGCCTATGCCTGATAGTCCAGTGTTTGATGACAAAATGTCCTTCAATGACATTACTACCCAGAATGAAATAGAATTTACTGTTGGAGAAAGCTCAGCGGGTAAACTCATACAGCCTGACAGAGAAAACCCTTTCTCCCTGGTAAAAACATCCGCGAAGTCTGAAGATAAAGGTCCCATGTCCTTTGAAAATTCAAGAACACAGCCCAATACGGAAATCAAAACACACAATCGAAGTGAAGTTGAGAGTGATATACAGATATTAAGAAGAAACATCTCATCACTGTATCAATATTCAAATGGCACAGATGAAACCCCTGGAGTACAAGCCCAGTATGAAATGTTGAATGACACAGCAGTAAATGATACTGTAAAAGATATAAATTCTGAAAACATAACAAAAAATTTCAATTCACAAACTGATATAGAGAAGAAGAGTAATAAATTAATCTCTGTAAAAGGAACCGAATCTACTTCAACTCCACAGTCTTCAAAAAATATTCTTATCTTTGCAAATACACATAGCAGGCCGGCACTTTCAACTAACTCTTTGCCTACACCTAATCATGTGACCAGAGTTTTGTATTCAAATGTAACGAGCAGTTCAAATAACAATGGTTCTACTCTTCCCTCCAACACATCAACACCAGCACTGCCTTCTTATATAACAATAACCACTACACAATCAACAACCCCATTTCTTGATTTAAATCAAAATTTAACTGAAGATATGAAGTTTGTTGATCAGGCAGTAAACAATACAATGTACACAGTTCCCTCTAATAGCTCAGAATACAATTTGAAAGATCAGACAAGAAAATTTCCTGATGATGAAACAGTTTACACAATAATTCCTGGAAAATTACACACAGCATTAAGATTTCCTCAAAATGTCTCTTCATTTACATTATCAACATTATCTAAAACAAAGAATAAACTCAAAACGTCTGAAGATGGCCCATCATTTCATTCAGAGTTCTCAGTAAAATTGACAACTTCAACAGCCACGCCTCCATTATTTTATTTGTCAGATGCAAATATTAGCACAGAATCATTTCCAAGGAATTTGTCAGTAACAAGTAAATCAACAGAATCTGCAAATGTGAGAGAAAGTACTGATCAGTCATCTAATACTGAATCTCTACCAAATTTCCCTCAAGTATCTCATGTTCTAGTTCCCACCGTAAACAATGCAACATCATTAGGAACACCAGAACCTGCTTCCAAATTGTCCAGCTTAATTTCACCAATGCAAATTCCAGAATCAGTGATTACATATCCAATACATATTGTTCCATCAACAGAAACCATAACCTCAAGTGCAACTGTCAGTCCTGTGCTATCCGTAAAAGCTGTAACCTCAAGCACAATTATCAGTACTGTATCATCAGTGGGAAATATAACCTCAAACAAAACTTCCGGAGTTGTGAATTCAATAGAAACTGTAATATTAGACCCAATTAACAAAACTGTAACATTATTAGAAACTGTAATGTCAACAATAGCTTCCAGTACTATGCCATTAGTAGCAACTCCAAACTCAGTTTCTAGTACTGTACCAGAAACTGTAACTCTAGGTACAATTTCCAATACTGTACCAGAAATTGTAACTCTAGGTACAATTTCCAGTACTGTACCAGAAATTGTAACTCCAAGTAAAATTTTCAGTATTGTATCATCAGTGGGAAATACAACCTCAAACAAAGCTTCCAGAGTTGTGAATTCAACACAAACTGTAATCTCAGAGCCAATTAACAAAACTGTGTCATTATTAGAAACTGTAATGTCAACAATAGTTTCCAATACTGAGCCATTATCAGCAAATACAAACTTAATTTCTAGTACTGTAACAGAAACTGCAACTCCAAGTACAGTTTACAGTATTGTGCCATCAATAGAAACTGTTACTACAAGCACAATTTCCACACCATATTTCAGTACAGTATCGTCAACCAATTATGCACTGGCAACTAAAGAACCCAGAAAAATAAATCAATTTCAAGTTGGCATCAGTGGTAAAAATCAATCTACACACAAAACTGAAGAATATATAAGGACATCATTAAAGAATTTGAGTGCTAATAGGAACTCCACATCTTTGAATGTTACACATGAGGTAATTACATTAACAAGTGAAAAATAAAATAAAAATACTCTTGCCTTGCACTATTCAGTTTTTAGTATTTATAAGGTAAATAATATTTACTGAAACTACAAAGTTAAAATAGAAATATTACTATCTTTACAGTAAAATTATGCAAAGTTTATAATTCTGTTCAATAGAGATAACTAACATAAGAAGACTAATTTTGTAAGTTAGAATGTGATCTGTAATTAAATAAACAATAAAATACGCCTCAGATATGAAATCTTAGCATTTTATTCATATATCAGGTAAATAGCTGCCAAATCATTAAATATATCTTTTTAATATTATTTCGGTTGAAGGCCAAAGACCAATTTCAAGGGTAAGAGGCAAGACAGATTTTTTATAATTTTTGTCATATCCCATTAACTATTGTAGTTATATTGCAATAATAGCAAATTAATTTCCTTCTTAAGGAATGGCAATGCATTCTTAGGGCATAATGAGTGTGTGTATACATATGCCCATGTTTTATTTGCCATCAGTAACATTAAGTTAAAATTAACAATGTTCCAGAAATTGTTTTTCAAATCTGAGAAACTGACTGACAGACAGAAGAGAGAGGATCCATTAACCATCATATTCAAGGGTGAAATGGAGGTTGCAGAATGGTTCTTAATTTTGGACATGGAATTCAGAAGATATTTTTCAAAAGCTCTTACAGAGTGCAAGAGGCTTCAAGTATGTATATGACTTGCAATTAATATCTGATAAAAATTCTGCCAATTATGTGAACAGAGACATCAAAGAAATATTCTGGTATATGGACCAGTGGATGTTTATGGATTAAATATGTGGTGCAGCTAGCACTAACACAGAATAACCATTATTACCTTGCTGGACTTTCCTTTATGTTTTCATTACTTATTTTAATGAATAGAACAGAAATTAATTATTCCTAAATATAATTCTTAATTTAATTTATTTGTTCTGTACTTTTTTGGGGTTTATATGTTTATCATACTTTTAATTATGTTGTCTTACCTGTACAGGAACACTTCCATATTAGTTTATTTACTTGCAACTCCCTCATTCACTTGCTGGCTGAACTGAGGAATTTTAGCGATGATATGATATTTTCAATATGGACAGCAGACATAGTTTATTCACCAGCTGTGATAAACGTTTTAAGTCATTAATAACCAACACTATCCAGCTAGTATCACCACATACAAAACATTCATGAAGCAAGAATATTGTTTCTTCCCATCAGTCACACTTGACTAACTCTTCTTGTCATATCACAGAGTTACAAACAACTTGTTTAACATTTTCACACTTTGCTCAAATTCAAATTCTTCAGATTGAAGAACACCAAGATTTATATATATATATTATTTTTTGTATTGAAGGCCGACATGAATCTTTTAACAGTGAATTTATCATTCATAATTTTAGAGTACTAACACAATATTGTTATTATTCCTATATGTACTCAAGTAACTTAAATTGGTATATGACACTATAACCGGTCTGTGGTTGGGGGTTATGCTACCCTTGTTGGTGATTAGGTTAGGGCAAGGGGGTGTGCTGCCAATTTAACAACAGAACCATATGTGCCAGGTATATTTCTTTTTCGTTGCGACATTTCTGTGTACCGGCGAGCAAGATTTATCGATAATCGATATTTTGATACTGGTGTATATGTGTATCTTTGCCGATAACAAAGGTCA